CTGAAAGGCAATAACTGAGTCCATCAGTAGCAACGTAAAACCTGGTACCTATGTACTTCACTTCAATAGGATACACCCCATTAGCGTAGGGAGATGAAATTATTAGGACAAATCTCATAGTAGAGGTAGTAAAAGTATCAATGGCGACAAAGATTTGACCCAGGGAGACATAAATCAGTGAAATAAGATTTTGAAAGCTGATATGAGGGAAGATAAAAGATAAATGCACTAGTGTCACTAAAAACGATTTTGAGCCTTGTAATCTACTGCCTGTAGATTACGATCTACTGTCTGCCTAATCACAAAGAAGGAAGGGGTTAGAAAAGGTCAACCTTAAAAATGTCACACCTCAGATTACCTCACAGAATTCCGTCTCCGGTGGTAAGGCTTTTTAAACAAGAACGGAGTTAACACCACAAACTTCCCATAAAAAGGCTGTGCGTGACCGGCTCCGAGCAGTTGTCTCTTGGGTTCTGCGGTCACGCTCCCAGGTCGTGTTTCAGATTCCTCAAAAACACCCTACCACCCACCCTCATATCCGTAACAGCACGCGAGACCAAACTGATCAAAATCAAAACATCTACGCTAGATAACACCACCCATCGAAGTAGATGGTTGGACACGAGAAACACGTTTCAGTCATCGAAATTGATGAAGACTTACTACCTAGCCAACTTATTCGCCGTATTTGCGTAGTACTCTATTCCTCACTCGGGAAATACTTACTGAACGAGATTATGATGATAATACAGCAATTATTGAACACAATCTTAAAAAAGTACACTGTTCAAAACTTAAATGAGACAAAAGAACTTCAGATCACTCACTAAACCAACTGAATAGAAAACTCAACATTGGGCATGATAAAGTTTGGTTTAATTTACTTTATCAATTAATACATTATTTGATGATAAGTTATAAATACTTACCAATATCCGTTAAATCTGAAACTTGGTCAGCACATAATGTGTTCACGGAAAATGGTTGTAAACAATGCAACAAAGACATAAGAAGATGTATTCCTTCTCTAGTCAATTGTTTATTATTTTGAAATATTAGTTGGGTTTGGTTGTCATCGTTTTTTGTAGCAGGTTCTTGATGTGTTGAACTGAGTAAGCAATCTAAAACTAACTTAAACTCGCTTAAGTTTAGGACACTTTGACACGACCATAACATAATACATTCAGCTAGACCTTCGGATATATTTTTCAACAACATGAACACATCATGTCGATGCTTCGAATCACCCAGAACTTGTATGTTTTCCAGGCGAGAAAATTCTTTAAAGACGGAGAATGATCGCAAGACACCTGAGGATAGAAATAAAGACAGAAACCTTGAATGAAGTCACTCGCTAGGGAAGTCAAATGAATAACATAATTTTCACTTCTGAAAATATTAAAAACATTTTGTTATGATTATAATGTGGATTAATAACCATACCTGGGGTAATAAACTGACCTTTTTCCCAGGACTAAATAACATCGACGTGCTGGTCACCTAGGAGTAAACAGTGACAAGTCAGTGATCGTAAGCTTGTCACTACAACGTGACCACACTGAGTATTTGAGTTTTACAGACAACATACAGGACACTGTCCAAAATCGGGCAGTACCGTTATTTTCTATTAATACGATAAAAATGTTATTTTGGAAAATTAACAAATCCAAACGCAGACATATTTTAAGACTCAGAAGTATGACAGGAACTTACCTAAGATATTTTGGAGTAACCCATTGGCAAATAATTCATCAGTAAACGAATGGATAGCCTGACCTATCTCAGTTGATGTAGAATTTGACCACATGCGTCCATCACGAGCACCGATCAAGGTGACCAGTGTATCAATTATAGAAAGGTGGGACTCATAATAAAGGATAACAGCAACAAATCCTCGGCCAAGACGAGGAAATAAGGAAAGCTGGCTTTCAACTAAATCATTATAACTCAATCATTAAAAACATGTACCCGTTAAACAAAGCTCTACAGCTCTGAGTTCATTAAACTTGAAGATTTCACTAATAAATAATGACTCCTGAATTATATCTTCCGACAGCACTACTTTATGTGGAAATTCAGGAAGCATAACTGCTGAGTTGTTGGCATTTTTGACAACTTGATAATCACGTTCATCCTTCCCCTTTAAAACAATGATAAAAATCAATTTGAAATTACAGGAAACGAAAGAGGAGATAATAGTAATTGTTTGTGCTTTTGAAGGCTATTCTCCATCTCCAGCAATCGGTTAGCTTTTCCATTGCAGACTACATCTGATACAATACACTTGAGTGTCTTTGCAGAAGACCACATGTTGAACTCAAAGTCACTGAAGCGTAGAGGTTCGAATCCTCGGAAAAATTAAATCCTCAAGGACGACCTTAACTTTTTGCCCAAAACAGTATTTCGACGGTAGTAAACAATATTTCTTTGTTTTTTTGGTATGCTATCAAAAATAGAGTGCTACTAAAACTGCCCTGACAGCTGCTAGGTTCGTACTTAGAAGGGTTGATACATCTCGCGATGAAAACTAAGATTCTTCGGACCTAAACGAAAATTTGAAAAGGACAAGACTGAACAGGTTCCAAGCCTTACACCAAAGAAAGGCTATCTTAGCAAGTATGAGAACTAGAGAGGTGTCACTCAAAACCCAAAACCAGGCAGATTTTTCAAAAGGGTAATGTTAAATAGAATGAAGAACTTTTAGACGCCCAACTTCGAGATCAACAGGCTGAATTTCGTGAGGATCGATCATGTACTGACCAAATTGCTGCATAACGGACCATTGTGGAACAATTAATTCGAGGGACTTACTTACTTTCTTACTTACTTACGGCTGTTACCCCCAATGGAGCATAGGCCGCCCACCAGCTTTCTCCAACCAACTCTGTCCTGGGCTTCCCTCTCCAGTTCTGTCCAATGTTTGTTCATTCTTCTCATATCTTTCTCTATTTCTCGGCGTAATGTGTTCCTTCGCCTTCCTCTTTTCCTTTTGCATTGAGGATTCCATGTGAGGGCTTGTCTCGTGACGCAGTTAGGTGCTTTTCGTAGTGTATGTCCTATCCACTTCCACCACTTCTTTCTGATTTCCTCCTCCATTGCGACCTGGTTTGTTTTCTCCCACAGTACGTTGTTGCTGATCCTGCCAGGCCAACGAATCCGAAGTATTTTGCGTAGATAGCCGTTAATAAACACTTGTATCTTCTGGATGATGGCTTTCGTGGTTCTCCAAGTTTCCGTTCCATACAGCAGAACTGTCTTGACATTTGTATTGAAAATCCTGATTTTGGTTTTGGTTGAAAGTTGTTTGGAGTTCCAGATATTTTTCAACTGTAGAAATGCAGCCGTTGCTTTGCCGATCCGCGCCCTCACATCTGCATCCGATCCACCTTTCTCGTCGATGATGCTGCCAAGATATGTAAAGGTGTTAATGTCATCCAAAGCATCTCCATCAAGATTGATTTGGTTGGTGTGTGTTTTGTTGCATTGGAGAATTTAGCTCTTTCCTCTATGTATGTTCAGACCTACTGCAGTTGCAGAGGCTGCTGCTACACTGGTCGTCTTCTCTTGCATTTGTTGTTGCGTGTGCGATAGAAGAGCCAGGTCGTCTGTGAAGTCCAGATCGTCCAGCTGTGTCCTAACTGTCCACTGAATACCGTACTTCCCTCCAGATGTTGAAGTTTTCATAATCCAGTCGATCACCAGGAGAAAGAGAAAAAGTAAGAGTAAGCAACCTTGCCTGAAACCGGTCTTCAACTCGAACAAATCTGTTAGCTGTCCTCCGTGCAACATTTTGCAGTTGAATCCATGATAAGAATTCCGTATGATGTTAACTATTTTCTCACGCATACCGTAGTGTCGAAGAAGCCTCCACAGTGTTTTCCTGTCAACGCTATCGAATGCCTTCTCGTAGTCAATGAAGTTGATGTAGAGTGGTGAGTTCCATTCAATTGATTGTTCCACACTGATTCGTAATTTTGCGATTTGGTCACTACACGATCGATCCTTACGAAATCCGGCCTGTTGATCTCGAAGTTGGGCGTCTACGAAGTCCTTCATTCTGTTTAACAATACCCTGTTGAAGACTTCGCCTGATATTGAGAGAAGAGTGATGCCTCTGTAGTTCTCACACTTGCTGAGATCGCCTTTCTTTGGTATTTTGATCAGGTATCCTTCTTTACAATCTGATGGTACTTGTTGCTCGTCCCAAATCTTGAAAAGAATGTGAAATATTTTCGCAGTTGCTTCTACATCTACTTTGATCGCCTCTGCTGGAATGTTGTCTGGTCCTGCTGCTTAGCCGCTCCTGATTTGTCTGATGGCCATACTGATCTCCTCAATCGTAGGTGCGCACACATCGATTGGGATGTCTGTGGATGCTGCTTCGATGTTGGGTGGGTTCAGTGGAGCTGGTCGATTCACGAGTTCCTGGAAGTGCTCTACCCACCGATTTCACTGTTGTTCAGTGTTGCTGATTACTTTGCCTTCCTTGCTTTTGACTGGTCGTTCTGGTTTACGATAGTTTCCGGCCAGCTTCTTTGTTGTTTCATACAATTGTCTCAAGTTTCCGTCACTTGCAGCCTTTTCCGCCGTCATTGATAGATCTTCCACATATTTTCGTTTGTCAGCTCTGATGCTCTTCTTCACTTCCCTGTTTGTTTCTGTGTATGCAGCTTGAGCGGTAACTTTCTCTGCTGTTGTTCAGCTGTTGATTTCCGCCTTCTTGTTCCTCCGTTCTTCAATTTTTGCAAGAGTATCAACAGAGATCCATTCCTTATGATGGTACTTCTTGTGACCCAGAACTTCGTGAAACGTTGAAGTGATTGCCTCCTTAATCCCTTTCTAATTGTTCTCCAATGTTGCTTCCTCTCCATTGAGTAGATCCTGAAAGGCCTGGAACCTATTGGTGAGGGCTATCTTGAATTCGTTGAGCTTTACAGTATCCCGAAGAAAGGCCGTATTAAACTTCTGTGATGTTGTCTGTCCCGTTGTCCAGTGCTTCTTTAGTTTCAGTTTCATTTTGGCGACCAGCAAGTGGTGATCTGATGCTATATCAGCTCCTCTCTTGGTTCTCACATCCTCCATGGTCCTTCTGAAAGTTTTGTTGATGCAGATATGGTCAATTTGGTTCTGAGTAGTGTGGTCTGGTGGAATCCATGTGGCTTTGTGAATGCATTTGTGCGGGAATATTGTGCCGCCGACGACCAGTTTGTTGAAGGCACATAGGTTTGCAAGTCTCTCACCGTTTTCGTTCCTTTCTCCCAATCCATGTCGTCCCATGATGTCTTCATATCCAGTGTTGTCCATTCCAACCTTGACATTCAGGTCTCCCATCAGAATCGTCAAATCCTGTGTCCAATGCGTTTCTCTGATGCTGAGCACCTCGAGGTTGTATCTTTTCATTTCTGCAGCAACTTGAAACGGTCTTCCAGTCTCCCACAATGTACGAACGTTCCATGTACCTAAAAAAAATGGTTGCTCTGGTTGTGAGATGAGGCATCAACCCCGTGACTTCCGAGGGAACTCGGCTTTCATCACGCGTCTTCATAATTCTTCCTCCAACTCCCAGGGCAGAAT